ATAAATCTAATTTTACCTAAATAACTAATCAAAAATAATAAAAAAATTAGGTAAAACATAGTCAGGAGATCATGAAGTAGTACCTGGTGGAGTTTGAGTTATGGACAATAAATTATTTTCACAAGAAGGTGAAGATATCTAGCTGTTAAAATAACTCTAATCACCGACATCCCCACAAGTTTGTGAAATTCTATCAATTATAGTGTTATATATATACTATGAACCTCAAACTACCAAATAGTTGATACAAATTATCGGCAAAACAAGACGTTCGATGTTTTTAAAATACAGTTGTTAATTGAGAAGATTAACGGTGGATTTCTGAAACTAGTTATGATTTAGAATCAATTAGTGAGACAAAATCATGATGTATGAAATATACATACATGCAATATGATTTGGAGAAGATGACTACGGGGTGAGAAGAGACAACTTTATTGACAAAATCGATGGACGATTCTTCTGCATTACAAAATATATATGATGGTAATTATTAACAAGATTATGAAATTGAAAGGTATGGTGGTGGATCTGGCCATTTTTGGCACCAGTTTTGCAGCAATTTCGATTGCTTGTTGAACTTTGATCGTCTAATTGAGAAGAAATCGATACAAAGGTGGGATATGTGGAAGTTGGAGCCATATATGATGGCGGTTGTGTAATATCTGACAGTCGGATGTGCGATTGGAAAAGAAGGCATTACCAGTCTAAGATCCTCGCCAGATCCAAGTGATCCATAGATGTGACTGGAAGGATGTTTTCAGATCTGGCAGACCGATACATCAACAACGGTGAAGTTTGATTCCGCTAGAGGCAGGGACGGTCATTGGAGGGTGGGGGAGGTGGTTGATGGAGGAGGGATGTGGTCGATACCAGAGGGAGTCGTGAAGAACACGAGATAAAGAACGATGAGAGAAAGAGAGAGAAACTAATTTTGGGGATTTTTTGATTAAATGATTATTTATTTTATGTAATTCTTTTCTTTACTAGATTTTCTCTTATGGTCCATTAATAAAAACCTAAAATGTCATCAATTTTATTTGTATTTACAATAATTCCATGATCAATCAAAGCCATCCATAATTTAATTCGACGTTTCACCTTTAGTTCTCGGGTAACATCCCAAAATTTAAGACCAAAAATTTCATTTTTAATTAATTTATTGTAAAACCATTTAGTATAAAAACATCCATAATAACATCCCATGTCAAACCAAAGTGTCAATAATCAAGACATGTTATCATAAAACAATTCAGAGTGTAATCCCAAAGATCTCATGTGCGGAAAACATAGTGTGATGCGCTGCGATCATGCCAGCTCCTTTCCTTTTGAAAACGAAGTACCTGAAACCAAAACCGTAAACCATAAGCATGAAGCTTAGTGAGTTCCCCAGATACCACATACCATACATATCAACTGAGCCGTATCAATCATATATCAATAAGTTGCTATGTGACACATATAGTCTTGCTGTTATGCCACGGGCCGCCACATGGTCTTTCTTGCCGATTCGGGGGCCACCCCTGGGTCCTACGGACAAGTGCCAAGAGTCGCCTCCTGGTCTTCCATGCAAGTATCATAAAGACAACTAGCATACATACTACTCTACTTAGCTAATGTGCATACAGTGTGCCAGGAGCTACCTCCTGGTCTTTCATACATACTGCCTAGGGCTAACCCCCAGGTCTTCCTACCATACATTATAGCATACAGTGTGCCAGGAGCCGCCTCCTGGTGTTTCATACATACTGCCTGGGGCTAACCCCCGGGTCTTCCTACCATACATAACTAAATGGGCCGGTATTGGTGCCTTAGACCCATACAAACAGTGAGGAGACTCACCTCGCCAGGCTGAATGCAGAATCCCACTAATAAACCTCTGACTGCTAGCTGGCAGATCCCCGAACTGTTGATCTCTCGACTCCCCAAACAACTGATCATTATACAAATTATATAAGTCCGAGATTCTCATAATCTAACCATAATTCATCGTTGGGGTAAAAGACCATTCTACCCATCACATAATCTTGCTCCCAAAATGGACTCTACTCCACTCTTGGCCCAAAAGATAAATACTTCTACAAGGCCAAATATATGGCCCAATTTCCAATTGGGCCCAATCCTTTCATATGGACCTCAACCTAAGGCCTAATAATGCTTCTCTAGTCCAAAAGTCCAATTCAGATGGTCCACTAAGGCCCAAAGTAGCACAGTCCAATGAATGACCCAAACCGAGGCCCAAACCATACAAAGCCCACAACTGATGAGTACGCGGGGCGTACTCAACTGTACGCAGCGCGTACGAGCTGTTTGGCTTGTACGCTGTACGTACAGGCTTGTACGCCCAACGTACTCTCCTGTTAAGCTCTTTTGCTATTAAGCACCTAATGCTCTAATCTAGAAGCTACCAACACAGATCCAAGTCCTTTTCAATGTCTTAATCCATAAAGTCGATTATTTGGTGGCTTGCAACCCACCAAATGAGCCCAAACTTGAAATATGACAACGAACTTCCATGAAAATGGTCTTAACTTATGCATGAACCCATTAGGACATTCAAGATGGCAACTTTCTGCCTTAGGGACTCATTTAGCATTGAGAGTGGCAACTCTAAGCCTAGAAATCGGATTTAAACCATAAAGCTTCATCCTTTGGACCAAAATGGTCCAAAAACTCAACCTAAGAGATCTAAAGGAGTAACCACCAAGTTCAGATCTTTATACCTTGAAATAATACGAAATGAAGCAACAATCCTAGATCTACAACCTCTCCTTTGAACCACCACCTTGCTTTGCTCCTTTCTTGGTTGGAAAATAGATCCACAACACCAAAATGCTCTCTAGTGGCCTTCTAAACCCCAAGAACACTCTAGTATGGATTAGGGTTTCGTAATAGGTCTTTTAGGGTGGAAATAGAGGTTGGCCTTCGAGACATAAGGCTCTTTATATAGGGCTTAACCCTAAAATTAGGGTTTGGGAACTCTAAACGTACGTTGGGCGTATGCCTCTCCGCACCCGCACCCGCGTCCATATGACCCTATACACTGGGTGTAACCCAGCTTACGCTGGGCGTACCCGGCTAAACACACACATGAATTCCATGCATGCATGGGACTGCCTTGGCACAAATCTTCATTAGGGACTAAAATAGACAATAACTTCAAAGCGTCATGACTTCCTCATCCGAGGTCCGTTTCCGATGAACCTTATATCCACAAAAAGGTGGCGAGAAGCTCTACGATGCTAACAACTCCTCATTTCCTAAAAATTCCCCATCCAGAACCCGAAATCCCTAGAAGACCGAGATGTCAAATTACGAGTGTGCCCTTGGCCCCCGAAGACACAATCAAACGCTTAGACCTCATATACCCCAATATCCACATCCGAAATTGGCCAAATCCTAACCCTATGACAACTACTGATTGGGCCGCAACCCCTAGCAGCGAAGCACTTTTAGAACCTGGTGTTACAGTTTTTGATATAAGTAGTTGTTTATATTTTCATAGATAAGGATTTCAAAACAAACTATGTTCGAAAAAAGTTCAAAAACCAAAAAAAATCTCAAAGGCAGTAGAAGTGGTGTTATTTCCAAAGGTACAACTCAAAATATCGATGTTCAAAGATTATCCTGTAATGTTTTTTGTCGCATTTTCTTCTGTTATTTTCTTATTCATAATTGATTGTTATATTTTGTGATTTTGTATTTCTATGTATCAAATGTGAATATGAAGATCTTTCTAGCGAAGTTAAAGAGAAAATTTCAAAGAGAAGAAATGTTAATGGTATGTGTTGTAATCATAACTGATTTTGTGATTTTTTTCAATGGATCGAACATAACCTTTAGTTATATGGTTATTTCTAGTTCTAATCATAAATGATTTCATACGTTTGTTTAAAATCATTAGTAAATAGTAATGATAAAGTTACGTTTTTATAATCATTAGTGATTGTGTGAGTTAAAATCACAGTTTATTAGTGATATGCATTTTTCTTCTGTATTAATAACTAATTATGTTAATTTTTCTTGTAGTAAATGCTTCTGTTTGTTAAAAGGAAATTGAAGATGTTTTAGAGAAAAAGTCCAAGGTTAAAAATGATAAATGTATGTTTTTTCAATCACAAGTGATTATGTTTCTTCATTTTTAACTGACTATATGTATTATGTTTTCTTTTTTACTAACAATATTTTTCTAATAAAAATTTTAGTTAAAAAAGGTAATTTTACAAAGAATGTATCAATAGAGAGCTCAAAGCAGACACGATCATCTTCCAAAAAAGAAAAGGCCAAGGAGGTGGTGCAAATACGATCAAAGAATCCAAAAAAAAAGGTAAAAAAAGTAGTTATTGAACAACCAAAAGTGAACCTGATCGTTAAGGGAAAGAAATTAGTTTTGGAGAAGGTTAAAACTGTAAGTAAGAAACGTGAAATATCTGATGAAGATGATTCTTATTTTTAGAGTCATCCTAGATCTTCAAAGAAACCCAAGAGAGAAGCTAATGTTGTGAAGAAAGAGAAAAAAGTTGTTGTTATAAAAGAATTTCCTTCATTGAATAACAGTTGCTGACCCGCGTCATTGTTGGGTGTTATTCAAGGTTTAAGTAGAGAATAGAAGGAGTGTGTTTGGGATATGGGATTTGGGAGCTTGTTACGGATGAAGATGATTGACGTACCGTTAAAATTTGTTTATTATGTTCTTAAACATTTTAATTTTTAAACTTTGAAGGTGGAGTTTGAGAATTGTCATGTTAGTGTTGATAGTAAATCTATTCATGAGATGTTAGGATTATCATGTGGTGGCTCATTACTTTCAAACATGGATTACATTTCCGAGAATAATGAATAGAGCTGTATGTTTGAGTGGAAGAAACAATATGGAAATATTGATAACTTGAGATTGAAACTACTAAAGAATAAACTTGTTCGAACTAGTGCAGCGGATGATAACTTTAGAATCAATTTTTTTGGTTCTTTTTATTAATACATTCTGTGAGTCTACAAGCATGGGTAAATGTAATTTGAATCCATTGTATTTAATCAGAAGAGATACTGATTTAAGTAGCATTGACCGGTGCGATTTCATTGTCGATTGTTTGGTAAGGACGAAGAAGGTTTACAACCCAGAGAAAGAAACATCTTTCTTTTATGGACTAGCAGCATACCTTATGGTACGTGAGTTGCTTTTTAATATTATTTTTTTTGTTGTAAAAATATGTTTGTTTTTATTTTTAAGCATATATGATTGTATAATCATATATGATTAATTATAGATTACATAGTATAATCATATATGATTATTCATATATATTATGATTAATGATATATTTGATTTGTATAAATCATATATGATTGTCTAATCATATATGATTATTTAGTCTAATTTTTCTTTAATTATATATTATACATTATAATCATATATGATTATTCATATATATTATTAATAATTCTATAGTAAACTGTATAAGTAAATCTTTTTATAAAGTTAACTTATTTGGTATATATGTTTTTTGTAGTTGTTGTATGTGTATAGTTTCAAGTTTGATCATTTGCAAGTCACGAGTAATCGTCCAACTATTATTTATTGGACGTCAGAGAAGATAAGGTTTCTTGAGGATATTTTACATGAGGATGGAGGATTTGGATGTGGAGATGTTAATAAACCATATGTTGAAGAAGAATGTCAAGAATTTGAGTATAATGAGGAGGAATTTGATGGTGATGAGGATTTATCTGATGAGGACGGAGAAGAGTTTGATGTTAATAAAGTTAGTGTTGTGGAGGTAATTTTTTAGTTTTATTCATTTATGACTTTATTAGTGTATTCCTTTATGACTTTTTATGATTAAGTATTTAGTTTTAAGTATTGTTTTTCTTATGTAGGTGTATGAAACTAAAGTTTCATATATGAATCAGAAGATGGAGGATTTGAAAAAGGATCTTGTTTTAAAGATAGATGAGGGAGTGTTGAAGATTCCTAAAAGTCAAAATTTGAAAAACTAAAAATTATTATTTCCTATTGAAGATTTAAGCACATAAAGTTTTGATTTCCATTATGTTTCACAACAAATTAATGAACCAATATCGACACCTACTTTTGGTCAAGGTAATGGTGATGAAGAAATCACAGAAGTAAATCATGATGAAGATTATGGAAATGATTTTTTGAATGATCATGAAAATGTTGAAGATGATGACCAAGGGAAATGTAGTGGTGCTCAGGGGGGATGGAAATCGTCCATATGAGGACCATATTGGTAAAAATGATGTTGAAGGTAAAGTTGATGTTAATGATCATGCATATAAGGACCATATTGGTAAAAATGATGCCGAAGGTAAAGTTGATGGTGCTGAAGGTGATATTAATGATCATGCATATGAATACCATATTGGTAAAAATAATGATTTGTTGAATGAGAAAGACGATGGACAAGATGAACAAGGAAATGGAAGTGGGTGCAATGAAGAAGAGGCCATGAATTTAAATTATGTTGTCGAAAATGTTACTAAGAGTGTTGGTCTAATTGATAGCCAGGAAGGTTTAAATTTAGTGAATTCAGGTGTGATCCAGTTGTTGAAAGTTTTCTTAAAAGTTTGGATCAGGGTATGCATATGTTTTTATTATATATAGTTTAACCATATATGATTTTAGTTTTTTATATTTGAATTTTATGGGTACTGAAAACTTGGTGGATGGTTGTATAAATTAGAAACGAGTTAAAGATGATGTGAATGACAATTGACTGATTTTGAGAAAAATGAATTTGATGATGGTAAGTATTTATTTATGTATTTTTATGCATAAAATATATATGAATATGTTATGTAGGTGATTCACTTATGATTTTAATAATTTAGGGACTGTAAATTTGGGTGAGGATGATCATAACAAAAGAAGTAATTTACGATCATACTGTTGATAAAGTTATTGTAGAAAAGAAGAAAAAAGATGAAGTAATTCATCCAAGTTTATTGAAAGGTTTTGCTGAAGTGTTAGTTGAAATTTCTAAAGCAAAGAAGGATGGAGAAGGTGTGGTAGAACGTGTAGGTGTTGAAGTTGATTTGGATTTAGGGAAAGCAATAAAAGATTGTTCAAATAAAAATAAAGATGGAGGTAATTAGTTTATAATTATTGTTTATTCATATATGATTGTTTTTATAATTGTTTATTCATATATGATTTTTATAATTTTTTGGGTAGAATCTGCTAAAGAAGGTTTACAAATTATACAATGGATGGATTCAAATGAGACTCAATAACTGAAAAAGGACAAAACAGAAGGGAAAGTTGAGAAGTTTTCTAGTCCAAGCTTTAGCCTTGGATTTAGTCAAGATTCTCAAGGTTCCAAGAAGGCATCTCAAAGTCAAAGTTCTCCTGAACGGGTGACAAAGAAAAAGATTAAGGATAGAGTTTATTTAGGAAAACCAAGTGTTGGGCCACAATGTGTTGTTCCAAATGTTGATGTTATTGATGCTAGTCCAGTTTCTTTTGTACCCCCTTTGGATACATTAGAAGGACCATCAAAACCAATTTCTGACCAAGCTAGAGTGATAAATGAAAAAAGTCCATCAAAAGCAAAGTCCGACAAATCTAAAGATATAAATAAGGAAGGAACATCAGAAGTAGATGTCAAAGGAAAGAGATAAATAAAGTTTTCTTATGTTTATAAGTCACCTTTTAAGGAAAGTGTAACGCCCACAGATCCTGGCTAGTCAATTTAGAGACAATAAGCATCAAAAATGAGTTTTTGATGGAAGATTATTTAGAAGGATTAATCCTAACCAAGTTGTAGTATATGTTACAAGGGTTCAGTACATATAAAGAACGCCGAAATCCGAGTTATAACGAAGAAGTTATGACCCGTCGAAGTTTTTCGGCAAAACCGGCACGGCACCGGGAGACGTAAATAGTGAATTTACGATAGAGGACTTTTTAGCCTTAGTGATCTAAACAAAAGTCATAGAATATGTTAAACTGAGAGCTTCCATAAAAAGAACGCCCAAATCTGACTTCGTATGAGGAAGTTATGAATTTTCTAACATTTGGCATAGCAGTGCACGGCCCGAAACTCGAATTTTAGTTCGAGCGGTTTTTGGCCTACGCGACCTAAATGAGAGTTGAAGATATCATTAATAGGAACTCAACGGTAAAAATACAGACAGAAACGGAGACCATATATAGAAGTTATGAATTTTACGCGGACATTTAACAGTATAATCTCCTCATACTGTTAAATTTAAGATCGGTCGAGAACTAGCCGACGGAGTCTAAATGAAAGTTTTAGATCTTATTTTTACCTACGCGCGATATAAAGAATGTCGAGAGTAGAGCTCGTATGTTAAAGATATGGACGAAACTTGGTCCCTACTCTTCGAGCGCGATAAATTCGATACAGTTTTGTAAATCAGAGGTAGAATGAGAATTAGCTGACGGCGTCTAAATGAAAGTTGTAGTACTCGTAAATACCAACACGTGGATATAAAGAACGTCAAAAATGGAGTTCGTATGAACGAGTTACAAATTAGAATAGCATATTTATGTATTAAAATAAAGTATAAATCATATATACGTACACATATATATATATACAAATGTATATATCATTCGAAAGGTATCGACGATGCGGTTATTATAAGACTAGTGTTGAGTACTTTCGACATTAGTTTAGTACAAATATCGTTAAATCTATTTAAAATAGTATTATGAAGGGGTGTTTAGTTGTTTATATAACTATAAGGTCATTAATTAATTATGGAGGGTAGTTTTTGTAAATTCAATTACTATAAATAAGAGGCTTGGGCTCTCATATTTCTTGCACCATTCTCTTGATTCAAGAGTCTTTCTCTTCTTATCCCCCGAGCATTTCGGTCCCTCGTGATTCGACTTCTCTTTCTGTAGTTTTAGTATAGTAAGGTGAGCGCTGAGGCGCTACACGAATCTTTCTTAGAAAGATTCAGCGACGAAGTTCTGCCCCTGTAGAGCCCGACTCCTAGCTAAAACCCCCTTGTAAGTAAGTTATGCTTACCCTATTTTAATATAGCTTATATTTAAAATTAGTATTGTTATTATAAACTTATAATAAATATTTGAGCTATTATTATATAAGTGTCGTTATAATATCTTTTTTAACTACCCGCGGTACGGGGAATCTGGTTTAAAGGGCCGCATAGGGTTGTTGGATTTCAGAAGTGCTTTATGCCAAAATGGTCCTGCCCTCCGGTGTTTTATGTATGGCCCCTGTCTGTACATAGTGGTTGGAAAGTATTGTTTAAACGCTTATATAATAATAATAATAATAATAATAATAATAATAATAATAATAATAATAATAATAATAATAAGACTAATAATTAGTCACGGTAAATATTAGACTAAAATCTAGTGGTAATAATACTAGGTTTCATCGAAGGAAATTATTTTAAAGTAAACGAAGCGTTGTCCAAGTACCGAGTCACCACCTTATCAAGTGAGTGCATGACCCCTTTCATCTTACACATAGATATGAAGTATTTTATATAAATTACGTGCTATGTGTGCATATTATCTGAATACTTGCTGTCTATGATGGATGAATGATTTTATACATGTTTTAAATGATTTAAATTTATATTTATTTTATATCTACAAATATGTTGGGATAAAACATGGGTAGATGAAAAAGTTGGTGTGGGATGAAATAAAATGATGAGAGATAGGTGATGATAGGAAGGTGATGATAATTAGGTGATGGATAGGTGATGATGAATCGGTGATGTAGGATGAAAGATACTATAACCTTGTCCGGCAATTTGGAGATGTAGTCATCTACCAGAGTATAGATGGCGACCACGGACTATTATAGACAACCCTGTGGAAACACCAGCAGGCTCACAACCTATAGGTGATGAATTACGAGTTCAGGCGATGTTGTAACTACGTATTCATGTGATGATACTCTAACCCTTACTATGAATTACGAGTTCAGGCGATGTTGTAACTACGTATTCATGTGATGATACTCTAACCCTTACTACGAATTACGAGTTCAGGCGATGTTGTAACTACGTATTCATGCGATGATACTCCAACCCTTACTAGGTGAGTATCGAGGGAGTAATCCCCGAACCATTATTGTCTGTGTGATGTAGGCGATGATCCGTAGGAAAAGTCCTTAGGAACTAACATATAAGGAAATGAGATGCAAAGAGATGAGAGGTAAATACGATATAGGAGATGAACCGTAAGGTAATACTTTAGGGAATATCAAATGAAGAAAATGAGGATGGGTAATCGGGTTAATTGTTTGACATGTATTATGTGAAGAAACAAGTTAATTATATTATTGTGGGTTGAAAACCCTATGTACTCACCAGCTTTCCCAACCTGACCCACTCAGTTTATTTGTATCACAGGTGTCGATATGAAGTTACATTACACTGAGAGATTAAGGAGATGTAAATCACTAATGATTATGAATGTAAGTTCTGTTTATGCTTATGTTTCTATATTGACGATGACATCCCAATGTTTTAAAATAAATAAAAAAAATACATTTCTTCGGAAATGCTTTGATAACGTATTTATCATGTTTTTCTGGGAACAAATTCCGCAACATTTTTATAAAAAAGGTACTCTGATTTTTATAAAGCATAAACATAATCGGTCTTTTCTGGCCATGAAAATGGGGATGTCACAGAAAGGTTAATTGATTTTGAACCGAGTTTGACACAAGTAGAAAATTTTGTTTGTCAATGGCTTTTTGGTCTTCAAGGAAATCGAGGGTAATTTTTTAAAATATATATTTTTTTATTTGTAATAACATTTAACTAAATATCTACAGGGATATGGTCTTGCTTATGGAATCAAATCTTATGGGTTTTAGAGCTAATTATGTAAGTCTTTTTAAAAAAAACCTATTTGCATGTAAGTGTTCTTGATTCATGGTCTCGTATACTAAATCATGAAGAGAAATTCAGAGATGATGTTAATTCTCCACTTAGATTGTTCATTAAAGTTGATACTGTAAGATTTTATTTTATGTTTTTATTTTCGTATTTTGATAATCATTAATAATTTTTTATATTAAATATTTATGTTATATTTTATTATATAATCACTTCTAATTTTTTTATATTACAGACTTTGTCACTTGAATAGAATCATTTGAAGGAAATCGGATACTATAAAGTTTTCAAGGATAACTTCTCTATTAGTGTTTTTAGTGATAGAGACTTGAAGGTTTTGAAGAATGTTGATATGGTATATTTAGTTTTATTCTATACATGTGTTTATATATATTAGTGTTTTCTTCCTAATATTATACATGTTGATGTTAGGTATTTTTCCCTATTATGAGGCAAAAACACATATATATGTTATTATTATCAGTCTGAAGAAACCTACTTTTGAGGTTATTGAGAATGGTGCAGATGATGTTGATTTCGATGATAAGTCTGGTGCAGTTTTTAAACCACTTGTAAGTTTCAAATCATATTTAATTTTCAGATTTCAAATCATATATGAGATGTTTTATAATTATTATACTTATACTTTTTTGAGTTCAAATCATATATGATTTTCAGAAAAAGGTTTTTTTATGAAGTATGTAAAAAAGATCAAGCATGTTAAAGAAAATGAAATTGCTGATAAAAATCTTACACTAGTAGGATTGATAATGCCATAGAGGACAATTTACAATAAAGTGGATTATGATGTTTTTTTTATGAGGCATATGGAGATTTAATTTGGAGAAAAAGGCTCTAAATGGAAATGTGGTCTTCCAAAAGAAGGACCTTCTCAAGAAAATATTCTAGAGAAGTTGAGAATGAAATATTCAACAACAATTTTAACTTTTAAGATTAATACTAAGCGTGATGATGTGTTGAAAGTTGGGTATGAGTATCAAAAAGTTGATCTAAATGGAAATGTGGTCTTCCAAAACAAGGCTGTCAAGTTTTTTTTACTAAAGATTTTCTTATTTTAGAAGTTAATGGATGATGGGTGATTAGATGCTTTTTTTTAACGTTGATGTTTTAAGAACAAGTTTGTTTATGTCACTCCCCCGAACCAGGACGGCAGAAACGTCCGGGGGCGGATGACATCATTGTGTAGTATCATAACAATTGAATATAAATGACACATAGTAACCAAACAACATACATTCAGAATGCAATCTTCATAAGTTTACAATTTGTAATTGTTCAAATGTTACACAAAAGCGACATAATTGTAAATTCCATAATGCAACAAAACATCCAAAATCCATGGCTCAAGTATCTGCTTACTGGTTTCCTGAGAATACAAGTAGTTTGAAAATCGTCAACATAGAATGTTGGTGAGTTCATAAGCATTTTGTACGAAAAATGGTTTGTATCTGTTTTGTTTGAAAAGTGTTGTATGATACCAGAAAAATCCAATATTTTTCGTAAAAGTGAATTGTATGTTTATTCCCAAACACTATGAGTATATGTATACATGATTCTGTGAATCATGTGAATGTATGTTCCTAGAAAATCCCATATTTTCTGATTGTGTGAAACTGTAGTCTTAAACCCTAAGACCGGAATAGTGACAATAGCGTGCTGAAAATAGTGTGTGGTTTTATATTTTATAAAACCAGTGAAGAGTAAGATTTCCGTGAATAAAGATAGTATTGTTAATCCCTATG